TGAAGTAGTTCATGGTAGATTTCAAGGTATGTTAGCGTCAGTTTCTTATTTGTTTCTAGAATTTTCTGATCATGACTGGAATCCATTCTTCCATCTACCTGTGCAATGTTTTCTGTGCATAATAAATCAATCCCCATGCTTAACAGTAGGCAAGATGTTCTTTTCATGAAATGCTGCTCCTTTCTACAAACATACCTTTGGTGATTGTGACCACTTTCGTTCACGTCTGTGAGGAGGTAGCAGGTACAGTTTCCTCCTGAAGACTCTTCCATGCAGATCCTGTTTGTGCAAGCAGCACTGCACAGTAAAATGGTGCACCATTCCTGTGTCAGCTAGGTCGTTAGTGGCATTTGGGGATATTGTTTGACTTTCTGCCATGCAAGCAGCTTTATCTGAAGGTTTTTTTTTTTGTCTGCCAGATCTTGGCTTGATTTCTACAGTTCCCCTTTAACTTCCATTTCTTAATGACAGTGGAAAATGTGAGTTGGAAGTGCTTTGATATCTTTTTATAGCCTTCCCCTCTTTTGTAGGCAGTAATTAGTTTCATTTTCAGATCCTTATTCAGCTGCTTAGAGAAGCCCATGGTTATTAAATGTTAGCACAAGGTTTAAAGCATCAGAGAATGTATTATGCTTTGGAATTGTTATTCTTAATGACAATTCGTAACCTGCCTAATAAGTCCTAATGAATCAAGTAAGGCCTAATGAGTGGGGTGTTCAAACTGTTGCACATGCAACAATTCCTATTTTATCTTTTTCTATTTTGTAGGCTCATCAAATACTGTATAAAGTAATTGCACGTTGATATTCGCAGGAAAAAAATATTTAAAAAAATAGTTTGCTGCAGAGGTTGTATTTATTTCTTTTCACTTCAAGAATCAACAAAATACGCAATTTGGCCATAGGTGCCCAAACCTTTGGCACTGTGTGAACCTTAATAGTACTTAAGTTCTATAGTTCTGTTATGTATTTTGCATTACTTTCCAAAACTTTGAATAATGCTCTCTCTAATTTCTTGCTTATATAGTTACAACAACTGCTCCACCACAAACATTTTTGGTATGTAGTTAATATTTCATTTATTTGAATTTGACAGGCAGATTTTTGCTAAATGATTCTTATTATTTATGTGTGTTTTTAATTACAAATGTGATTATTCTTTCACTTTGCCCAGTCTCATATTGCTTTGCTTTTATCTGTTTTGATTGTGCATGTCCAACAAATGAAGCATGTGGTAAAATCAGAATAATGTGGAGTCATTTCCTGATTTCCTGATAAAACCATGCCTGATTCTTGCATGTAAGTCTTGATGCACATTCATATTGTGTATTTATACTACTGCATTTAACAACAACATAAATAATAATAATAATAATAATAATAATAATAATAATAATATTCTGGAAATTATATTTCTTAAACTTATGTATGTTACAAATGAAACCACCAACTGTAATGTGTTAAAATGGCACTAAACATGAGAGGTTTATTCCCTCTGAGCTGTAGATTCAGGTATTTCACCACATACAAATAGGCTTGGGAATGTGATTATAGCAGGATGAGTCAGTCATTTAGTGAGATAGCCAGGAAGGCTTTGATGTAAGCTAATGTAGTGGTGTATATTGTCACGGCAGCACCCATGATAGCTGTGTTAGAGAAAAATGGACTGTAAATGTAATGTCACTGCATGAACTCCAAGTCTCATCATCCTTTGTTAAGTCAAGAATTACAAACCACATTATATGACACAAACAGTAACTCCATTCAAGATCTCCAGCCTTGAAATCAAGCACACCTGTTCCCAATCCCAAGCAATGTGTTCCAGGTATCACCAAAAAAATGGTATCACATGCACTCTATAGGCATGTTCTGCCTTTCAGTGGAATACCCAGTTTCATACAGGCAGAGACACATCCAATCAAATACATTTTGATTGGTAGGATTTGCACCAGTAGTCTTAGGGAAAATTGGAAAAAGTGTACCCTGCTATCTCCTCAGTATGTAGCATCAGTGCATTTAAGTACATTTCACTGTGCAACCGAATCAGTGTTTAAGTGTAATTATATTTTAGTGTTTCTTTGATATCTAATATAATAATGCTCAGTTCTGTTTCTTGCTCAGAAGGAAGCAGAAAGCTAAGCAAGAAAGATAGTGAACATTAATTTCAGCATTTCCATTGATATCAAATTCAGTGGTGACATGGGAAGAGCATATTTATTTATGTTTGACATTTACAATCTAAAAGCAATAGTAAGCACAAACAGGCCAGTCCTAAAGTGTTATTTATGTTCATGATCATCTCAGCATGCTAACATTATGTTATTAGTGTGTCATTAGTAGTTATGTAGTACTTTGATTTGCTATTTTGATTGGGTGTCCCAATTTAAGAAATTAATGCAGAAAATCAGAAAGATTTTTTGTATTGACAATGTATTGTGTATTTATAATTTTTCCTGGTTAATAATCTGTCTATTGTTCTCTCTCTCTGTATCTTAGTTTGAGTCATCTCTAACTCTACATTTGCTCAGCTACCTTTCTCTTGCTGAGTATGGTCTTTTCCTAATGAAAGCCCATGTGTGTGCTTGGATGAAGGTAAAATCTATAATTCTTCTACAATATTCTTTAAATATTTTTACTTTAAACATCAGGACATATGCATTCCACATCCAACAAATTATTTAGCCCAAATACACATTATAAAAGCACATTAAAAATACATTACATGCAGAATGATTCTTTCGCATACACAGAAATTCAAAAACTCTTTTTTTTTTTTTACAGGTGACATCATTTCTTTCTTTGGCATTTTCATTGGCTGCTTTCATCCTCTTACTGATAGATACCAAACAAGTAAGAATATTTTTCCTAAATTTATTCTAGCTAGTTCTAGGTGACAGACTGCTATATTCTTTCAGCCCCATTTGTCCAATCTCCTAGTAATCTGCCACATCAACTTTAAATAATGTACAGTCATATTTCTAGATTTGGGAAATACACAAAGGTTACTATTAACAATATACTATATAATAGATGCACTAAATGCAGAAACACAAATCAAGAAATAATTACCTATAGTAAGCTCATCAGATGTCAAAGGTCATGTGTTCACTTATGTAAAGCCATAATAATGTCCAGCAACATTCATGTTGAAAATTCAATCCTATGATCTTTCCATCTATGTGTATTTGTCTGCGTGCGTACATGAATCTGTACATGTGTAGGTTGAGGGCAGAATTCTGGCAGGAGTGGCAGCAAGCCTGAACTTGTGCCAAACCATTCTAATATTCTTTCTCTGTGGACCGAGCCATGAATTGTGAGTTTCCTTAAATTGTTTCAGTTTGACACTGCTAGGTTATGCCACTGTAAAAACGAAAAGTTAGGGCAATCAGAATTGATCTTTTTTTTCTCTGTCTTTACTTCTTTTGTATATTTATCTTTATCTTTTATCCAAGAATGAAAGAAAGATTTTTTTTTTTTGTTACAAATTTCAGAAGGAAGGTTTTCTGCTGGGTGCTCAGAGTGGTTGCATCTATAAACTTTTTCTTTACAAGTAAGAATGCCTTTTTTGATTCTTGTCTTAGAGAAATTCATAGCCAGCACAATTATCTTACATATATGTCTTGTATAAATTTGTCTTTTGGTCTTTAACCACATTTTTTTTTTACCACAACCCAGAGAAGATGTTTGAGGATTTGAGTTCTTTTTCATGATTGATCTAATTTATCTACTGACCTTCCTGGTATTCTTACATCTCTGCATTTCTTACTTTTTAAAGTTGCTACAATATATGTTGGTCTTGTGGAGCATTGCTCCAAAAAACCCTGCATCTGGCCTGCCATATCGATGGGAGTTTATTTAGCATGCCAATTGCTGTCATGTCCATTTTTTTTATATGGCTATCTAAAACAAAAGTACCGACAACAAACTGCATCAAGCAAACAGAATTGCAGGGTAAGATTAACTTTTTACTTTCCGTTCCAGAATTTTTAATCATGCTTCATATAATAATACACTGTACTCCTTGTGGAGTAAGATATCTGTGAACTTATGCTTTTATGGTTTGTTGGATAGCAAGAATTAATAATTTTGTTAACGCTAACTTACCATATAAGCACTAATTTCTGTACACTTAGCCTTCCTTCTAAGAATCAGAAGATGAAATAAAAGGTGTTTATATTCCTTTTTCTTTTTTCTTTTTACTTTTTCAGGTTTCTTGCTGGGGTACATGCCTGGTAATTTTTAGTGGGATGAATATAGCATTTACTATAGCACTTGTACTGAATATTTTTGTGCCACTGTACGACTGATACCTGAAGAGTCAAAGACCATGATATTTTAATTATGTGTGTGATGTTTTACTTATTTGTTACTTTTTTACATCAATAATTTCAAGCTGTCTCCATTTAGTATGTACAGGATATATATTGGCTTTCCGAGATTTGGTTCTGAATTGTTTTCACATCATACAGTATATCTTATTAATGTATTATTCCTGTTATCAATGCTTAATATCAATGTAGATTTTGTATTTGTAGAGAAATATATATTTTTTTGTAGAGAAATATATATCTTTATTCTGAAAAGAGAGAATCTACAGTCCCCTCCGAAAGTATTGGAATGGCAAGGCCAATTTTTTATTTTTATTATTCTTTTATTTTTTGCTATACACTGAAGATGTTTGACATCAAAAAATAAATATGAAATGATAGATCAGAATTTCAGCACCAATATAATTTCCAGATATTTAAATCTAGATGTGTTAAACAACTTAAAACATGGCACCATGTGACTGACAGGAGTTTCCCAGATGTGTCTTGTTAGATTGACTGTTTAAACAGTTTTGAGCTTGGTTTGAGCCCTGAGTTTCACCTGTGAAGACTGCACTTCTTGTTAAAAAGGATAAACCAACCTGAAGACCATTTGGGAAAATTGGGTGGTCTGCCAAAGGTGCCATGTTCTAAGTTGTTTAACACATTAGATGTAAATAGCAGGTCCTGAGGGGGCATGGTGGCTTAGTGGTTAGCATGTTTGCCTCACACGTCTAGTGTTGTGGGTTCAATTGCTGCCTTTGCTGTGTGTGTGTGTGTGTGTGTGTGTGTGTGTGTGTGTGTGTGTGTGTGTGTGTGTGTGTGTCCTCCCCAGTCCAAAGACATGTGTTGTAGCCTGCTAGGCATCTCTAAATTGCTGATAGTGAATGTGTGCCCCAAGTTCCCTGGGATAGGCTCCACACGACCCTGTGTGGGATAAGCAGTATAGAAAATGGATGGATCAGGAAATGAAAGCTGAAATTCTGATTTATTGTCTATTCTATTCCATTCTATATTCATCTTTTGATCTCAAACCCAAATGTCCTCAGTGTATAGCAAAAACAAAGAACTGGCCATGCCATTCTAATACGTTCAGAGGGGACTGTACATCCCTTAGCACTCAGAACCGTTTGTCCGGTAAACTGGTGAGGCCTCATCAATTATTAATTTTGGTCAGCCTATAACATCTTTTCTTATACTAAATAAAATATCATAACTCAACAAAATATGTTAATTTCACTATTGTTGTCCATGTGTGAATACTTGTGTTTGAAAAACTTTCAGATTTGAAAAAGGCTTAGCTCCACCACACTTGGCAAATATCACATCATGTCATGAAAAGCTTGTTTCTGGCTATATAATGTCAATTCTTTAAATGGGAAAACACAGTGTATTTATAAAATTGTTGAAGATCGAAGAAATCTTCATTTCATGGCAATGACCCCATGTGAGTAGCCTTTAAAAGATTCCCTCTATGTCAAACTTCTTTCCCAGTCTTAGTCCCTAGATTTATGTTCTACTCTTAGAAAAGAACCTAGCTTTTTTTTTCTTCCTTAAACTGCACATCTGATCCAGTGAAAAAGGGGTTTATTCTGTACATATATGCATCTCTATTCCAACAAGTCATTTTCTCAGAGTATATAACAGCGACAAGAAAAATACCCAACAAGCACATAAAAATACATTCTAGTTTTAATCAGTATAAATTTAGTGAAGTGCACAATATTAAGCCAGAACAAAGCTTAAAAAACAGCCTCACCTCAACAAAGCTTGTGCTAAATTCAATAATATGAACCACTAAAAATAAATTCACAATATAAATTCAGTCAGTTAATCATCTGGTCCAAGGAGCTGACCCTTACACCTGCATTCCAGTTGAAAGTGAGCCTTGTAGATATCCCTGACGACTCTAACTTTTGAAGAGAGTATATTAGATATAGCAAAAATCAGAAGTAACGCTGAATGAAGAAGGAATGTTGGACCTTGATTTATGCAAATCTGCATAAAAAAACAACTAATATATTTGCGCTTTATGTTAAAGAATATTTAACATGGCATTATTCCAACACTGGTGCCATGACATTAAGTGCATCATCTTCCAGAGACCCCGCTGCATGTGTCCAAGATGTTTGAAGAAAAAATAAAAGAAAAAACAAATGTACAACTATTTTACATATGACTCCTGAACATCTTTTAAATACAGCCTCACAGATTTAGTTTTGACAATTAGATATGTTCCAGAGGTCAAGAACAACCTGGCTAAGAGAACATATCACCAGCCATTTAGCTGCACAAATACAATTATTACAATCCAGTAACACAATACTTGTGTGAAAACCCTCAGTTATTAGAAGCTTCACTCCCCACAGCCGTGCTGTTCAATCTTCTGCTCTGCAGCTACCGGTAGGATGAGATGGGAGATTCTACTCCACAGCCCACTTAGCTTGTCTACATCCATCTGGTTAAATTCAACAGTCCTGTCAGAGGAGACAAACTTCTCTTTTAAGTACTCTTGCACCTGCTCTTCCACTGCCTTCAGACTGAGTTTGAAGTCTAGCTCAGCAACAGGGAGCATGACAGTGAAAACCAAAAAGACTTTCTTAAAAGCAGAATTCTCATGATCACAGTAGCGGTAGAAGATGAGTGTAGATCCAGGAGGAAGCTCTTCAAAATGGTGAATAACGGCTGCCTGTGTGCCGCCCTCAAAGGCCTCTTTCAGCACATTGTCAATGTCCATCTTAACCTGGTCGCTGTCTTGTGCACTTTTGCTGGTTCCATCAATAACCAGGACTGAGGAGTTGAGAGCTCTGGAAAAGGCCACGGCTAACTGTTGAGCCAGACAGCCCAGAGTCTTCACAGCCCCACGACCAGAGGTTAGAATGAGACTCACTGGCTCTGTTGGATCGGTCAGTTTAAGGTGGCGCTTAAGATGGATATCAGTCCTTTTCCAGAGTTCCGGTCGCTGGCTAGGGAATAATGGCTTTAGTTCAGCTAAGTGGGTTTCAAAAGTTGCACTGTACAACAATCTGTTTTGATGTTCAGTTGTTCTGGAAGAGGATGGAAAGTGTTGATAACCCATTAAGCCCAATGCAAGTGAGGCTAGCAGGAACACAGCCCACTGAAGCCACCTGCATACACCCCATACATCTGCTGTAGGAGAAATAACACCAGTTACTGCACCTTCATCAAACATAATGAAAAGCCAAGCTGTGTTTGACTGTGTGGAATGGAGGTAATACCTCTTGAGGGGGAAGTTGAACCTGCTTTTGTGATAACTTGTTTCCTTAATTCTACAAAGAAGAGACAAAATGTTAAATGTCCATCTCTATTTGCAGTCAAACAAAGCTGAGAGCTGAGATGAGCTACCTGTGTTTGTGTGGTGTAGGGACTGTTTGTCAGCAGGAAGGTTATTTGTCTTGTGGGTGTGTGTTGTGTGACCTTTCACATATGGATACCTGTCCCTGCCCTGAAGATCAGCACCAGAAACACCTACAGTAAAACAAAGTAAAGGACAGTAATGATTAAAAAAAGAAAATCTTAGAGATATACCTGTGAAATGAAAGTGCTAACCCTGCATTTACACAAGCAGGCAAGAAAGCAAATAGGTGACCATTTATGTCCTATGCAGCCTCCTAACACTTACATTGACAAGTGAATTGAAATTTTGCTCATTTTTATGCAAATTAATCATGATGATTTAAAGTAACAAATCCAAAAGTCTGGCTCAAATATATTCCTTAGACCAGTCATACTGTACAAGATGTCCAGCACTCTTTGGGGAGTTATGAAGAGTTAGGGACTATGTTATGTCTATTCTCTAGTCTAGCTGTGCTTGGTAGGGGGAAAAAAGAAGAAGAAAATAAACACTTACTGTTATTAAAGTTTCATGTTTTAACAATTTAGACATATTTTAACAAGACAAAGGTAACACAGTGCTATGTAGAATTATAGTGTATGATATAGTGTATACTTATGCCCTACAATATTCAGAACATAAAAACACAGGAAGTTACATGTCTACAAGCTAGAATAGTTGTGGTCACTACAATCTGGGAGTGAGATTAATGACAATGTTGCTTGTTAGTCTGAATGCAGCATGATTCTGACCTCTGGCTTTCTCCGCCATTTTGTTCCGATACTCTCTTATGCTGCTCCTCACTGTCAAAATGTCCGTCCTGTTCTCCAGTGGTTTGAGATTGACAGAAGCAGAACCTGTTCTGGAGGGTTCTGTGGAGAAGATCAAATGGCCATGAGAAAAATAAATGGAAAATTCAATGAAAATATGTTTAGGGAGCAATCATACGGTAGCCTCTTAAAAGAAATGTGTATAAAGTTATTTCTCAAAGACAGAATGTTGACAAACCTCTTGATAAAGTCTGAGAACTATGAACTTTGTCTCCACACTCTGTCAGTTTGGGCAGCTCTGGCACCTGTGACTTTTGAGGTGTGTCTCTTTGCCGCTGTAAGAATGCCCTCATCTCCTCTGTTTCCAGATTCCCCACACGCAGTGTTCTGGTGACCCTTTTCTCCTGGATGAGAGGTTTTGCTGGTACAGACACAGAGACAGTAAGTTTGATCCCTACCTCTCAATAACTCTCCAACAGGTTTCTGAATGATTTAACTCAATTTTAATATAAAAGGGTATTAAAAGTCTCACTCTTCATGACCGTCTCACAATTTTCCCTTTCATCCTCTGAACTCATGTCTTGGTTCTGATCTTCATGTTCCTCCACATCCATTTCCACTGTATTATTTTGGTCCCCATTCTCATGTCCGTCTCCTGCATCCTTTGCAATCTGAAGCTTTGAGATCTTGTCAGGAGATCCTGTTTGAAATATTCATTTGAAATACTGTATATTTAATATATGTAATGTAGTACATGCACTCACTAAGAGAAATCTAACTTATTATATACAGTCAACTCCAGATTTATTGTTACCATTGGTAAACAGTTGTTTATAAAAAAAAAAAAAAAAAAAAAAAAAAAAGGGTTTAGGAAAAATGTCTTTGAGGTCAATTAGCCTTTCAATGAAGTCAATTTATTTAAATACTTTTTTAAAAATCCTTGTCAAAAAAAATCTTTTTTACTGGCAACCCTAGACATTCTTCAGACTTAGCCATCATCCATTACTTCCTGTTTTACTAGGGTACAACGCACAAAAGGCCAAATTCCCTTAGTCATTCATCAACATTTTATAAAATACACAAATCAAAAGAGACAAAAGTGTGTTGCCCTTTGCAAATCAGGCAATGTCTATAAAATGCCTGAAAATGCCAATATCCACTGACCAGAGCTGTAAGGAACCTGCCTGGAAGAGTATCAAGTGTATTTTGCCCCCACACACAGTGAGGATGATGGTTAGCGTGGCAAAGATTTCTCTGTGGATGACTGTTAGATGATTTGCAGAAAATGGTAGCATTTAGGTATCACCAAGTATCCAAATCTACAATCAGACACCACCTCCATGTCAACAAACTATTCTTCTCAAAGTTGTGCCAGAAGAAAAGCTTTCTCTTTCATCTTATCACAAATGTAAGCACCTGGATTTTGCAAAATGACATACTTGGCTAGAATGATATCCTATAATCAGGTATATCATTCTAGACATTCTAGCCTTTCTGTACTTGATGTTCTTTGGCTAGAATTGGGTTCTATGGTCACATGAGAGAAAAACAGAACTTTTTTGGAAACATTAAATGTGCATTTGATATAAGAAGAAGGATGGTTATACAAAAAGAACCTAATCCGCACTGTTAAGTATAGTAA